GAATAATTTGCACTAATGACTGGGATACCCATTGCAAATTACTGAGTTTCACAAATTACTGAGTGAATAAGCAAAACAAATCCAGGCCAAGAATAATGCATCACTAAATGTCCGGAATTTTGTTTTTCCAAATGCAATTTAGTTTTAATTATGATCTAGTAATGCAATGAAGGGGCCACCCAGGGGAAGAATGCTTTTAAATGCACGAGAGACCTATGGCCCAAATTCTGTAATCTCAGTGTAGAATCCCAGGCAATAAACATCTCTTTGAGCTATCTAATTGTTTTTTGGTATTTCCTGTAATAACATAGGGAGTAATTGAAATGCTAAATTACTGATATTAATCATAAGGTATAAATGGGATGAGTCTAAAGAGCAAGAACCATGAGTACTACATAAGTAGAGGTCAGCTTGCAAAATTAAGTATCACTATGTGCTTATAAATTCCCCGTCACTGTAATATCTACGTATGTCACAATCCTTTATTGGTTCTTTCCTTTCACCATTTCAGAGCCATGAATTTTGGGGTTGGGAAATAGCAACATGGAGTAGATTAAGAAGGTCACATACTGAGTCAGCTGATGAAGTAGGAATTGATCTCCCATGTCCAGTGGTTTATCCGTTAGAATAGGCTTACATCTGTTAAAGTATATTGTAAAAAGCAAAATTAGAATCATTTTATTTGTGCTCTAATCAAAGTATACCTCAGTTCTGCTACCTGCTTATCAGGTAAGGTCCACTGCAGCAGTACTTGGAAGTCAGAATTCCCCAAGGAAGCCAGAAATCTCCAAGGAAGATTGATACACTGAGTGGTGGCAATCCCCAAGGCAAATGTACAGATCTGTATACAGCACAGAGCATTCAGCAGGTAATCAGACGAGGTTGGCCTTCCATTTTTGATGTTGGCAAATCTTACCTTGGTAGGAGCAAGAAGAAGTTAAAGGATGAAATCATAAAACAGTGGTATCAGGTAAAAGTTGAAATGTTATCAACTGCTAGATTGAAGTTCAACCCTAGTATATTCGTCCAAGTATTCTCACAAACTCTGCAGTTATAAATCTTTCAGCCGCTGTAAATGAACCAAAGCTGTTCATTCCTGAACTCTCACTCTTCCTTCATCCTCTTTTCCAATTTTACGAATGCTGTCTTTTTTTCTGCAGTTTCACTCGGAATTCTTCCGTGTAAAAATATTCCCAGAAACCACACATTTCCCTTATGGGAAGAACTGTGCAAAGTGCAGTAAAGCTGTTGTAATGCCTTCCTGTAGCAGCTTCTCTTTTGTCACTAGGAAGAGGTTTCCTGTACTTGGAGTTAAAATAAAAAAAAAAGGGGGGGGAACTTAGGAAGTAAATGAACTAAAGTTTGGGGTTTTTTGCATGTTTGGTTGTTGTTCTTTAATTTTCTTGCTGTAAGAATTAGGAAAATTAAAGATGAGGTGGAAAAACCCAATAATAATGTGGTTGCCACCAGATGTCTGAGAGGTCTTTGCTAGTGGAAAGTTCCATGATGATACCGGTTGGATGGAGAGTAAAAAGGGCATGCCTTGCTACAAAATAGAATTTCTCATTACATTGAAGTTCAGAAACATTTTTTTTTTAAAGACAATTTGAGTGACTGTATTGTAATTTTGTGAAGTAGCCTTCACTGTAATTTTGGTAGAGATTCAAGGCCATGAACAAAGAGATCATGTCCATTTGTATCCACACCAGCATGGATTATAAGACAGCACTGATGTCACTCTTACTTTTGTCTGCTTGGTGTCAGACTGGCTTTACCTGCATTATCACTATTTCTCACCTTGGATATTTTTCATTTAGGGCAATGACTCCCCCTTCCTGTTTCCACTGAATACATCCTGTCTATAATAACACTTTGGGTGTGGCTGGTACTTTCACAGTTTTGCTGAATTTCTTTCACAACATGCCCAGAAGGTTGAAAAAAGATTTAAAGGCCATTATGAGGATCAGAATACAACTTTCTACCTTGTTATCAAATTAGCAGTCCATTATATTGATGAGGCATATACTTTACTCTGTGGACTTCTCTTAGAGCCAGATGTTTGATGACCTGTGAAAGGGTAGAGACAAAATAATTTGAAAGTATATTTTTTTCCTGAGAAAGTTTGAAGTGGCTATGCTTCCTTCTCTTTAGAAGTATGTAATAAATGCAGAAATTTAATCAGAAAGCTGATAAAGCATTTTTAAACTGTGCATATCTTCTTTTTGAACATGAAGTATTTTTGATTCATCAGTTTTGTCCTCAAATCTGTGTGTGGAGTGGAGAAATGGGTAAAAAATAAAAATTGTAAAATCCTGACCCTCACTTTTTTCTTACAATTCACTGACATATGGGTGTACAGAATCCAAGGATTCTTCCTCTGGAACAGCATAACCCTGGGTGTATATATAGGCTGGGGAGCTAGTGGCTGTAGTGCAGTCCTACAGAAAGGGATCTGGAGAGTTTTTTAAAACTCAGTCTGAGTCAGCGTTGTTTCCTGGTGGCTGGCCAAAAGGGCCAGTTGTGTTCTGGAGTGCATTGAGCACAGTGTAATTAACTGGTTGAAAGATGTTATTTTTCTGCTATATTCAGCATTGGTGCGGCCTAACCTTGAGAGCTGTGTGCAGTCTGGAGCTCCACAATGTAAGAAGGATATAAAAACACTTCAATGAGGCCAAACAAGGGCTACAAAGATGGTGAAAGGACTAGAGTAATGACTTAAGAAAAACAGCTGCAGATACTTGGCTTGTTCAGTTTAGAGATGAGGGGTCTGAGGAGCAATGTCGCTCCCATCTACAAACTTCTCATGAAGGAGAAAGGAAAAGGATCTGCTGACCTCTTGTCTTTGATGACCAGTGATGGCATGTGATCATAGAATCATTAAGGTTGGAATGGCGACTAAGGTCTTCTAGTCCAACCATCAACACATTCAAGGGTTCTTTACTGCCTTCCTGGTCAGTCTGTTCTTATACTTCATCACTATTTTTGAGAATAAATTTCTCCTAATATCCAACATGAACATCTAGTAGTGCAACTTAAAGATATTACCTAATAGAATGACTTAAAGTTGCATCAGGGGAAATTTGCATCGTGTATTGAGTAAAGGTTCTTCACTGATGGAGTTGTCAAGTGCTGGAACAGGATTCCTAGGAAAGCAGACATGGCCCAAAACATATTAGTTTCTAAGAAGCTTTTGGTAAGTGCTCTTAGGTATATGATTTAATTCTTAAGTTGTTCTTTATGAAGTCAGGAGCTAGACTCAATCCTCATGCGTCTGTCTTAACTCAGAATTTTTGATGATACTATAACGTATCAAAATGTATCTTAAGAAATACACATTCCACATCCTAAGCAGTTCTGATCATATCATAAGTCATGGAAGAATGATTTTTTTGTCATTACTAAAGAAAGCACAGAAACAGTATCATTTTATCATGCACAGGCATTTTTGCTTCTCTGATAACCATTATCTCTAGTCTGCAATTTTGCAAATCTTTGCACAAGGTTTTGCAAAAATAATTTCAATGTAATTGATGGTGTTTGTACAGCTAAGATGATACATAGACAAGACTTTAAAGACTATAGCTGACAATCACAGTTTCTAATTTTTTCACTAAAAACAAAACAAAAACTCTGTCCAGAATAACAAAGTAATTTCCCCTTGGAAAAATACAATGTGAATATGCTCCAGTCAATATCATATGATCATCTAGGAAGACCTTTGCCTGGGATACTTATTCAAAACTGATCCTTTAAATCTGGGAAGTTCAAGCAGTTGCTGTTTCCAATTTGACCATTTGCAAAAGTGTTTATAACTGATCTCTGTGGGAGATGGTGAGCATACTTCATGCTGATTATGTTCCTTTTGCATCTTTCTTTCACATCTCTGTAGAAATGGGAATTTATGGTCTTAAACATCAGTATCTGTGATGTTTTGGAATCTTACCCTTTGTACCCAAAGTGAAGTGCTTACTTTGCATGTAAACTCTTCTTTACCCTCCCACTTGCAGTTCTAAAACGTAAGTGCTAGGTCTTCCTCCAAGATCAGGCACTGGTAATATTGTAGCACCCCAGGAGGTGCTACAATATTGTAGCCCAGCAGACACCAATAGGAGAAGTTTGGTTCTACTCAGTCAGGGCTTTTATTTTCCCAACTGTTACCCTTTTCTCTCTTCCCTGGCTATTATGTTCTCACTTACGTGCCATTATCTTATAATATTAGGGCTCAATACCTAGTAAAGCACGATTATTTAAAAGGATTTGATAAAATATTCACCTCTGCCACCTCATGGGCTTTTATCTCCTTTCTAATCCAAGTATATATATATATATATTTCTTCATTGCTTATGTCTCTTTATTCCTCTTTCACTTTGTTATGATCTCTACAGCTCTGTTGACTCTGTGACAGTACATTTAACTCTGACATTTTGGGGGCATGGTTTGCATGAAAAGAAATACAGAACAAAAACTACATTTCAGCTTCAGAGGTTGAGTTCTGAAAAAACTCTCCTGGAGCAACATACTGACAGCAATAATGACAGTAATTCTTACAAAATTAATTATCATTATAAAATCTCTGCTGAAGAATATTACTGAGGCTGCAAAATCAAGCACTAGGAATGTCTGACCTAAAAGTTACTCATTCAGCGTTAGTTCTCATCCTTATGAATATCTGTTCTGTGTGTAAGCTGGTTTTGATACAAAATATTACTTGTTCCCATAATTAAGTTGTCACAATTCTTATGGGGACATGACTAATACTTTCCTGGTGTCTGGAAAACTGAATTTTCCTGTATTTTCAAGGGGTATTGGCAGGCTCAATCTAATCTAAAGCTGCCCTCTGTCTGTATCTGGCATGTTATATGGACAATACATATGCAACACTTCAAATAATAGAATTTGCCGATCAGGTTCTGCAAGTAAATCACCCTGTTACCACATCAGTTTCCCTTGTTTCCATCGCATTAAGATCATTTGTGTTTTTTGTGCTTCTCAGTATGCTGTTCCCCTCTTGCGCTGAGCGGCATGAACAGATTCAGTGAGGAGTGAAAATGAGGAACTGAAGGTAGGTCAGTAGATTTCTAGCAGTTTTTAAGGCTGTTTTTATTACGACCTCTTTATTTCTTATTGATAAGCTTGATGTCATGATCACACCTTCCTTTCTTTCAGTACAGAAATCTCTGTATCTGGAAGCTTCAGGTGGCTATTTCAAGGGTTTTTGTTTTGCTAATGTTAGTAAAAGACTTTCAGGCATAGTTTGGAGATGTTTTTCATGCCTCTGCAGACAACTAATCCAACAGTGCACTTGACTTAATGTTTCCTAGCTTAAGTTTCGGTTCTGCAAACACTATAATGGAGATACTTGTGAACTTATTTCAATGAATTTACTCATGCAGGAAACTAATAATTTGCAGGTGGATTTGCAGCATTTGATCTTGTTTGTATTCTGTTAAGCAACTGCTGAAAACTCTCAATCCTGAAACCATTATGAGTACCTTCAACAAGTTGGCAATGCTGTACGGAGAGAAAAGCCATCTCAGTTATAAAAGGAGAAATATTGTCTTTGGAACTAGGGGAATTGAAAAGGTAGTGGGCAGCCTCCATTCACCCTAAGGCCAGTATGATACTGAGGACTCTGCTTAAGTATGGTAAATAATATGTTTGCTCTCTTTTATCAAGAATTTTGCCTCATAATGGAAATAGTAATTCAGGTAAATAAATTGTAATTGAATCTTGACTAATATGGTACTTTTCTTAAAATAGAAATATTCATTAGTTACATATGGGATATAATTACAGTGGTTTTCCACCTAGTATTTTTGATATCGTGGTGAGAAGAGTTAAATGGTTGCTGCTTCACTTGGGTTGTGCCCAGACGGGAGCTTATGGTTCTTTTTGAGTGGCCTGGTTGCCTGATGCAACTGCTGTGAGCAATCGCACAGCAGGAGATTGCCGTGATATTTGAGAGTGCAGTTTTTGGTGCTGCCAGAAGGTCCTTTGCTGAGCCTTGATTCCACATTCTTAGATCCAAGCACTTTTGATAGCTGAAGCTGAGAAAAGAAATTGCCAAGATTAAAATATAGGAGCAGATGAGGGATCTTGAAAAAATATTGGTCTAAAATGTTCCTCATACATGCACACCCAATTTTTCAGGGCATGTTGATGCTAGCTTCAAATGTTGTGATTTGGATCTATTCCCAAATAAGAACAATCAGCATAATACAAGACATTATCCAGAGGTGTAACTCTGCAAATTAAATGTTTGCTGAAATCAGGACTGCAAAGGGAGCAGTAGTTCACATGATGTTTTGTGATGTGCTTAAGCAGAATCTGTACAGATGGGTATTTGCTTTTCATTGCCATCTCTTTTAGCAGTGTCACTAGACTTGCAGCAGGCTCTCAGGTTGTTTCAGGAGACTCTGATGTTCCTCCTTTTATGTTTCGTAACTGTCTTCATTGAGACAAGCTTGGCATGTAGGCAAATCTTGAGTAACTTACCTGGTTTGAAATGGGGCAAGAAGCAGCAGTGGAGTATTAACCCTGATATATCCTGGTGCAAAGCAGTCCCTAGGAGCTTTTTTTCTCAAACACTGAGAAAAACTGAAACATACTGACTGCAGTAGCAAGTGATACAGAAATAACAACAGCAGTAAGAGAGAATTCTAGTGGAGAAGTCCCTGCTCTACTTTGGCTGTGTTGTCTGCATAGCTGAGCACCTTTGGGATTTGTTCTTGCTCAGAGAGCTGAATCTGCTATGGATGTGTGCATGGTTTCATATGGCTGGGACATGTAGTCTCCCATGCCATCTGGACAAGAACCAGCCCTGCTTTGACAGGTGCATACTGCAAGAGCAATTGGATGCTTGTTATCATGGCTATCTTGGGTGTCTTGCAGAACCAAACAAACTCCTTGGGCAAAGAGTTTTCTTTTTTCTTTTTCCATCCTCTCCTCCTAAACCTAACTGACGCTGTCAGAGGAAGAACAAGTGGTTTTAATTGCATCTTTCTGCTCATTTCATTTCAGTTCATGTTTGATTTGTTGGCTACAGCTAAGCAAAATGCTGCAGATACACTGGCACAGACAAAAAGGATGATCTAAGCATGATGCTGTTATTACAGGTCTAACAGGGTTGATCCAATTTCTGTCTGTGTCACAGACTTCCTGTTCTGGCTTGAAAAATTCACAATTTCTCTGTGCTTTAGTTCCTTCTCTGTGAAATCATGATCAAATTAGGTGATGAATGGATTTTTCAGTTCAATGACCAAACTGTAAAATCAAAGGCAGAAGTAAGAATTTGGTTCAGAACAGAAACTTGCCAGTAAATTAGACTGAACAAACATAAAGGCCACTCTGAGTCAACTTGGAGTTTTTTGTTCAGTCTAAAATGAACTGTTGTGATTCAGTTATACCTATATTTAAAAAAGAAAAAAAAAACAACCAACAACCTTTTTCTTTGACAAAAAATATTGCATTGAAATGCAAATTTAATTTTTGTAACAAGATCTGAATGAAACACTGCCACTGCCAAACAGTTCTGTGCTTTTCTGTTTTATACTTAAGGCCTTTACCTTACATTACAGAGCATTATTCACCAGAGCTGAAGAAATAGTTTTTCTGCCTCTGAAGTATTACTTTCCTGTTTAGGCAAACAGTAATAACAGTAATAAATTATGTAGCTTTATACAAGCTTGTGTTGTTTTGGCATAAATGTTTAATTGCTTAAAACAGTCTATGTCTGTGGGAGGAGGGAGGGGGGAAAATGAAGGATGAGATTACCTGGTTAGCTCACATAAAGGACATAAAAGTATTTGAATCTGGATGAAGAAGCAGATAAACAGTCTTCCTTCCAATAGTAATTTCTGATCTGGAAAGAAACATGCCTTAATGGTGGAATGATCAGTTCTGCTAATCCAAGACCTGGGTTTGATGGCAACTCTGTTTTTAATTTGGTCTAATCTCATTTCTGCTAACATTAAAGGGAGTTTAATTATGAGCAGAATCAGCCTCTTTTGTATGACCTTGATGAGTCACTTAACCTCTCTGTGCTTCATTTTTTTCCCTCATTGATTAAATAAGGAATCATTCTTCTTTCAAGACACAAGGGTGTCTTTCTGTAGAATTGACTCAATGTTTGCAAAGTGCTTTGAGATAATAATTTCTCTCTGTAGACCTTCAGTAACATAATATACTGAACAAATTCAGGTTGGTCGAGCACCTGGTAAATCTAGGAGATGGGACTCAGAGCAGTGACCATGCTGCAATCTTTCCCTTCTGTGTCTTTTGCCCTCTATTTTTATACTTTATTAATGAGAATTAGCCTTTATATGTACTATTAATGATGAAAAGGGTGCTCGTGAAATGAGATGTCATTGAAATATAAAAGAAAAATGAGTTGTCATTGATTTATTTATTTTTTCTAAAGGTAGGTAAAATCAGTACCTAAGATAGTCTATGTAACAGAGTCATAAGGGTAATGTATTATGTAGCAACATTGGAATAAACTAACAGTGGCTTGATTGTTAAAAGACTAACTTCACTGGACCTAAAAAGTTCTATTCCTCCCATGCAGGTATTTCAGTACTAGTGTTTCCACTAAAAGTAAAACTGGAAGAATTTCTGGGAAAACAAAGCTAGAGAAATAGTCATTTATATGAGCATTTGACACAGTTATAGAACTTTAGAAATCACTGTAGCAAGTTCTGAACAATGTGTAAAATGGAAAAATTCCACCAGAGGCTGAGAGCGGAGAAGAACTATATGGCCACATGGGAACTGCTGTTGTAATTCTCCATGCAGACACGCCATCTTCAGCCTGGTTGGAAAGAGGAGTGCCTGAGATGCTGTAGATTGCCCACTTTCCTCCATAATGAATTTGCCTACTGAGGGCTAAATGAGAGCTATGCTTGCACCTGAAGAAGGATTCCTCCTCACCCTACTAGAAAGTGCATTGGTGGCAATACATGAGTTACACAGAAAGAGAATAAGTACATATATTCTAGAATTTCCTTTTTTTTTTTTAAGGTGTTTGAGAACATGTGCATCTAAGTCAAAAGTAATTTCTTCCTCCTTTTCTCTGCCAGTGATTTCTCTGGTTCAAGCTTCGTGCTGACCATAAAACAGGCCCTGTATCTAGTATTGATACTCCTGATCATGCATCTACAACAGCTCTCTAAAATGCAATTAAAATGATACAAACCAAAATTAAACGTCTACTTTTCTGAAGAGCTGTACTGCTTCATTTTGTTTCTATTTCTTTAGTTTTAAGGAGTTTTTCTTTGAAGCCTTTCTCTAAGGCTTGCAGAGACAGAACTAGGAGAAATCTGAGGTTCTCGTATAATTTCCTAACTTCTAGAAGTGAGCTGAGTAGAAAGCCCATTTACTGCATGACTTGCAATGATAGAAATCCCAAGATTAGTCCATGCCGCTTGCTTTAGCGTGGAGCCTCAACGAAATCAACGGTGTTTTTCACAGTGCCTCGTAGTCTGGCTGGGATCCAGCTGCAGAATTGAAGTCTCCAGTGGCTGAAAGAAAAGTGAGGGAAGGTTGTATCTTTTTTACTAGAAAAACAGCGTGTCCCATGCTGAATCCTTCCCAATTTGATAAGACTCCTCAAGGTCTTCCACCTAAGCGCTGGATGGCTGGAGAAAAACGTGCATGTCCTGGAATGCTTCCTCATTCCTTGATAATTATACCAGTAGTTATCTAATTTTGTAAGAGAGCTCATCCATGGGTAGCAAATTGCTTTACAGAAAGTGAATTGCCTAGATTAAGTGTCAACCCTGGGCTGTGATGCCGCATCTCTTTTCAGCTGTGCTCCAGAGATGGTGTCTGTGAGGAGCCCATGTCGACACCCTATGAGCCAGCTAATAATAAAAGAAAGGGCATTCATTTCTTGGGTGGCTTGTCCATAGGAATAAGCTGTGTAGGAGTTAAAGTCGCAGGCTCCAGCTGAAAGGCCAGTAGGAGTTAACGCCATGGCAGCCGCAGCAGCTCGGATCAGTGGAAAGCAGTTTAGCCACTAGAGGGGACTAAAGACCTACACTGGGTTGTCCTGGGTCATGAATT